CACTGAGCCAAGTCCTGCAATCTTTTCAAAGCTAAAACTACCCTGATGTTTGAGGATCAATACAAGGTGTCATTCTGCTCTTGAATCAGGTGGTGCAAATCTAAAAGAACTCTATTAAGATCACTGAACTGTGAATGTAGATTAACTAATGGAACAGAGCACATTTTGTTTTGTTCCCAGATGTAATTGAAATGTTGAAATCTATCAACTCAAACAGTGCTTCCCCTTTAAAATGCTGTACGTCTTTTTTATCTTTGCAATGTTTCATAAGGTAAATATTTACCTATCTATGGATTGCTGCTGAATATGTAGAAATGTACGGAGTATAGTATATAACATCCTTTGGGATGGAAGGAATTAGATGCAATGTATGTTCTAGAAATTGCGCTAAGTAGAAATTAGTTTTAATATATCCTTGGGTGCTGTTTTAAGAATGATTTCCTCTTTCTTTTTCTGCTAACTTTTACACACACCCACAATATTTTTCCTTTCTAATTTTTCTTAATTATTACTATGTAGTTTTTGTTTATATTTGTTCTTGTTTAAAAGAGACCGTTTTTAATAAAACATGATGGCTTCATAAATTTCATATGGTCATGTTTGGGATGAATAGCATCATGTGTTCCCAGCTTCTTTAGTCAGTTTGGAAAGAAGCTCTGCAAACTCCTCCCACAAAAGAAAGATTAAATGGTTCAGGAAATTGTGGGTCTGGAGAATTCTTCCCTGACTAAATGATCAAGAGTAAGTTGCTACCACTAACAAACAGGGTCAAGGACAGGGTAGCCACTGCTTGCCAAATTTCTGTGAAAGCCCATACAGTAGTAATTTTACATTTTCTACTTATTTAAAGTATTAATGGCAAGGATAAAACATCTACATTCAACAGTGGTTCAGCTTTTGAATTTCTGGGATGCTTTGAAATGATTTTGTGCATCTTCCCAAGCTGTTGTGAAGCATGACTGGAGTCCTCATTACAATGATATTCATGCAAAGCCTGCCTTGTTTCCCACTATTCTCCTGCTTTCTGCTTTTGTCTACAGTAAAAATGTATTTGGCAAACAATTGAAAACACAACACATTAGGATTACTAATTACCTGGATTGATTTATTTATGCAAGGCCTCCAACAGAATTTAATCCTTCCTGAGTACTATTGTGATGGTAACATTTTCAAGTGTAAATTGGGAAGAAAGAGTGAAAACAAAATGTATATAAGGATCCTGGATTGATTCTAGTGATGAATTTCATCCAAGTTGTTAAAGGAAATTATGAGACATGAATGTGACCTTAAAGTTTTTATATATACTGGAGAATGGATTCAGAATATTGGAGGTGTAGTTGCAAGGCTGGATAGGAATATGACAATAGCCGTGTACCTCAGGCTCTACCAGTGAAGAACTACTGCATGAAAAAAAGCTATTTTAATTGTCTGACCATACAGGGCTGTCTAACTTCAAAAAAGCCAGAGTCACTTCTGGCTGCATGCTCCATACCTCCTCCCCCTCCCCCTACAATGTATGCAGTGACATCTCGTTTGGCACACCTCAGCATCTCCTCAGCACACCACATATCTGGTTGTCCTCCCACTGTACCACAGACCCAGGGAGTCCCCATTGCCCACATGCCCTGTTGCATCCTCAGCTCTCCAGCTGCAGGCTCCTCCAACTCTGTGAGTTGCATTACTGCACTGCTCCACCCCCTGGGGTGGGGCAGGAATCAAAAGCTGGAGGGGTGGGGATTGGGGCCCCGCAAATGCTGCTACATCCAGAGCAATGGGGGGAGTAGCAGCTAGTTACAATCCTGGAAGGCTCAGTTTAAACCCTTGTGGGGTGCAAGTGGGCCGTGGGCCACTAGTTGGATAGCCCTGACTTAAGGGAAAGGCATTTAAGAAGCAGACATCAGTGACTAAGAAGTAATGAAAATGCATCAGGGACTCTTGACTGGTAGGATGGCTACATAGTTTAAGGGACATGTAATCAAATGAAACTCTGGAAACTCCAATAACAACACAATATTTTAGAAGTTCAGGTTTTTTAATCACTCAAAAGTAGGTACAGAATGAAAAAAAACCTGTTTTGTTTTTGTTAAATAGGTAGAATATATTTATTTTTTTCTATCAGTTAGTAAACTGATCATTGACATTTGACCTACATCTCAGAAAACCAAGCCGATCATTACTTCTAAATGGTAACTTAGGAGCTGAACTGTAGGCATTCATATTTCAAAATACTCTATGTCTTCTTTTGCCCCCTTAAAACTGAAAGCTGTTGTTTAAATTAAAACAAAGGTAAGAAGGTCCTGTAATCTATATTTCCTGTCAATGTCAGATATTTCCTAGAATATGTTTTCTAGAATTTTGCTCAGCTTAGGTTTATACTTCTAAATTAATGGGTCTTCTGTCTTTTCCATTTGAAATTACCGCCTGGTATTTGGTGGTAACTGCTTCTAACCAGATCAGTTGTCCTTTTCAAATAGCCAGTCATCTCTAATCACTGCACAGTTCAACACGTTAAACTGAATATCAGAAATTGTTTATTCTGTTAACAAGCAGTTAACAAAATTTTGATGGAAAAAATGGCAGTGAATGTAGACAAAACCTCCCTCTATTAGAAGAAAAGTGGGGAGAGATTTACCACCTTTCTTTCTGTTGAAACTTTACTCTAAGTCAGTGTGCTCCTATGGAACAGTTGGATTTCAAGGAGACAGCATTTTTTAGAGGAAAACTGTTTTGTGGGATATTGTTTGACCAGCTCAAACATTGTTTTCAGTTCATTTTTTGTTTTTTGAAATTTCACAGTTGGGATTAATTTAATAGGAAGATGGAAATTATGCAGAAGGGAGCAATAACTTAAGCTTCACTTAAGTCTTAAAAAGAGTTGTTAAGAGACATTACCCAAAATACTAGCCGTGTCAATTCTAGCTTCTGGTTCCTGTCAGCTAGCAGACTAGTTTTGACATGGAGGGTCAGAGCCAAGAATTGACAAGAGCAAAGGTCTATAACAGTTCAGAAAGTGATTTCCATTGTTCAAGGAAAGCAGACTGAGTATGATAGCTAAGGATATCTGAGGAAGCTAGGCTTGCTTGGGCTACAGTCAGGGTTGGTAAACCTTAGATGTGTTATACAGTAGATATATGCATCAGTTATATGTTGTTCTAGTGACCTGTTTCTCTAATTGCCCTTCCTAGCATTACAATAAATGACACTTTTGTTCTCAAAACAAGAGTCCTGTAGACAAGAAGCACAGATGCCAAATCCACTCACCTATTCTAATATTATAAAAGCCTTAATCTGTCTGCCTGGCCATAACGCCTTATTCGTGCTCTGATTGGTTGACTGAAATAGCCAGTCAGAGTGCGAATACAGTATTTGGCCAGGAGGTTGTAGCCCATAGACCACTGCTGTGATGGCGGGGACACAGGGGATGGAGTGAGGAGGGGGGGCATGATGGCCTCACCTCCCCCCCCCCGCCCTGCTCTGTAGAGGCAGCAGCAATGGAGCGGACAAAACAGGGGGCCTCGCCCCCACTGCCCTGCTCCCTGCAGGTAGTGACAATGGAGCAGGGGGAGCAAGGCCACCAGAGCTGGCCTTGCCCCCCACCCTTGCTCCTTGGAGGTGGTGGCAGCAGTGCGGGGTGGGAGAAGTGTCGGGACTCCATGGGGGGGCAAGGCCAGTGGTGCTGGCCTGGGCCCACCCTACCCTGCTTCTGTCATTGCTGCCGCAGGGCTGACATGAGCCAATGCAGCGGGGCTGGGGAAGAGTAAGCCTGACGCACGGCTGTGATGATACAAAAGAGTGGACCCAGGCTGACATGGCAGTGGTGGTGGTGGTGGGGGGAGGAGAGGGGAGGAGTGGGCCCAGGCCTGACGTTGGGGGGAGAAGTTGGCTTGGCCCAGCCCAACACAGCAGCAATGGGGGGAAGGGGGGAGTGGGTCTTTTCCCCACCTCTTGGGCTCTGACTCACTCTTCCCCCTCCCCCGTGTTGGCCCTGAGCCTGCTCCTCCTGTCCCCCCACCACCACTGGGTAGGCCTGGGCCTGCTGTTCCCCCCCACCCCCACCACAGCACGCTGGCTTCTCCTCACCCTTGGGCCCAGTCCTCCCCCACATCAGGTCTGGGCCTGCTCCTGCCCTCCCCTCCCTCCACTACTGTGGTGTGGGGGGGAGTAGGCCTGGACCCCAAGCAGCAGGAGGGAAGTGGGGAGTGGTCCTGGATGGGGAAGCACGGGTCTCCCCCCCGCCCACTCCCCTCCCCCCCATCATTCTTGACAGGCAACTGGCTAGTAGCCTAAATAAGCACAATGCAGATTGGATATTGCAGCCTTGAGTGAATCTAAAATAGGGATTATTGCAGAATTCCATCCCAGAAAGATAAAGCAACAGGGCCAAACCCTGCAGAGAGTGAATGAAAAAAGACCAGGATAGGTCAGAGGTGTAGCTAGCCCTGCAGCCATGGGAAATTCATCCTCTCTTATGCCCTTCATCTGTCTTGTTTTTCTCAAAATTGGAAACCGGATCCTGCTGAAAAGATTAATTTTCACGTTTATAAACATATAAAGAAAAGCAGAATTTCTTCCGTGAAGAGCTAACAATTGGAAAGGGAAACAAGCACAGTGATGAAGAGGAGAGAAACAATATGCAAAGAAAATGGTGAAGGTGGTAACTGGGACCTTTAGAGAATAGCTCACTTTTTGCAGCTTTTCTGATTTGGCCCATAAGTGAAAAAACCCTAATGGAATAGTGAGTTTAATCTGTTTTTTCTTCCGGTATGGAAGCCTACTTTTTAAAATGGTTTCTCCTATGTTCATCTCAAATCTTATTTTCTAGCTGCCCTCAGAAATTTTTTGTGCAATTTTTGTTGTTTTTTAATTTATTGCGAAACCTTGGTGTTGGGATTAATTTATCCTGATGACTGTCTAAAACTCTCTTGATACCTAATTAAATCTGACTTTTTATTACATATTGTCAGAAGTTGCTGAAACAGTTTCAATATTTTTTATTGTAGGTTTTATATATACTGGAGAAGTTGTTCATCGAATGCTCACAGCCACACAATACATTGCACCTCTAATGGCAAATTTTGATCCCAGTGTATCAAGAAATTCAACAGTCAGGTACTTTGATAATGGTATGTAATAGTTCTTCATAAATTAATCTGTCTTTGTCCCTTGGCTATTTTTATTTTCCTAAATTATCCTCATTTGAAGGGAAAACTACTTAAACTATTATTTTATATATATAACATTAATTGAACATGTTTAGACATTGGTGAATGTTTATTGTTAAACAACTGAAGAAAAAAACCATGTGCTAAAAGCATGTGATCCCATTTCCAGACTTGAAATATACTTTATTAATTTAAAAAAGAAAATTTTCTCCTGAAAATGTACAAGGCCCTCTTGCTTCAGTTCATGCAGTAAGTCCTGTCCACCTAGTAGCTCTAATAAAATTGTTTTGTGAGATGTGATATTAAGCATATACCTAAACAGGGCATGTACAAGATTAATAAACCTGTCAATGATTAAACATGCAGACTAGGGACCTAATAAATTCAACAATACCAAAAGTTTAGCAGTTCTTGGTAAGACAATTTTAAAGGATAAAAATGCAGCATTATACTTAGAGCTGTTCTTTAGGGGACAGTTCTAAACCCATAAATGTGGAGATATTAGTCATATGATGGTGTTAAAACAAACATTTTGCAAGTTTGACCTGTGCAATGAAATGACAGCTGCTGCCTTGCCCTGGGCTTCTAATAGTAAATCTAGTGATGACACAAAAGAGGCACACACGATTTCATACTTAAAGCTTTATGGTAAACTTTTCAAATATGAGTGCCTGAACTTTGGCAGCTAAGGCCAAGATTTTTATAAATAGGAGCGTAAATTTAGAAGCTATTATTTATATTTATGTTTATACTAGTAGGGTCTATGTTTTATTTTTGAGAGGAGAGGCTGGATAGGGCTGGAAGAGTCCAGTATGCAACACATTCTTTTTGTATTTCCTTCCCATGAATATACTAGCCAATGATTATATTGGAAGGAATATTTCCTCTGAGTGATTTTTATCACACATGTTTACAAACATAGCATGCATTAGCTATTAGCCATCATAAGTATTAACAAGAAGTCTCATTCTTGAAGTCCAATCAGTGGTCAGAAATATAGAACCTAAAGTATGAGTCCAGTTAAAACTGTTTCAAATATTTCAAATATATCTGAGAAAATTGTACTCCCTATCCAGATAATTTGCAAAAGGAGAAATCAGTGACATTCATCCAGTATTTAATGTGAAGGTCTACAACCTGTGGTCCTTACTGAAGGGATCTGAGGATCTTTAGAGTGGACCGTTTAATGGTCAGTACCTCCCTCAAATACAGTCTTCATGTTGGGTCAAGCAGACTCTGTTAAATTGCTTTTAAAGGTGGGGTCGGGCAGTTGTTTCAAGTTGTGGACAGAAAATCAGTGTAAAAAAGTAGCAGACCGATCATGGTAGCCCCTAAACCCAATCCAGTATATAATTCCTCTGAAAAATCAAGGGTGAAACTCTACCAGTGTTGGTGTGATCTCTTGGGACACATCCCCACAAGTGTTCAGGTGTGGTTTGTGGTACCTCAGACCTATTTGAGGCACCACAAACTGCACGTGGTACATGTGGACTCATTCACCATGCTGCTAATTAGCAGTGTGCCGGGAGGGCGTTATACCAGGATATCCCAGTGTCAAAAAAAAATGCTAAAAAAACCCACGTGGCATACATAGCAGCAGCAGGCACCGCCAGAAACTAGAGCCTGGCCAGCCAGAGCTACGCTGGCTGCCAATCGCTTTCCGAGCAGCCAGATTGCCGCCAGTGCTGCCCCAGGAGAGCTACAGGACTCCTGGTAGGTTGCTGGGCCCAACACAGGTGCTGGCTCCAGCCTCTGCTACCCCACCCAGGACAGTTTGACCCCTGCCAACCCTGCATGCAGGGGTATGCACAGTGGCAAAAAGCAGTAACACTCCCTGCGTATGGAGATGCATCCTCTGTGTGCATCACTGACTAGCTGTTTGATAGTAGCAGTCAGGTGATTATCTTCTTCTTTGCCCTATACTGGCAAGATGCAGTAGTAGTCACTGACTGCATGCAGCTGCACCAGGTTACCTGTTTGTCTGTCCCGTCTCAATCCTGGTGTAATTTACCTTAAGATACAAAATCAAGGTAAAGACAATTTGATTCTGTCCAAGTCTTTAAAGCACACGTTTCTCCTCAGGAGAAGCCAACTGTAAGCAGGTCACTAACCAACTTTATGAAGGCCACTCACCTAGCTCTTTCCTTGTTCAGGAATTTCCAACATTCGGCAATCTTATCCCTGCAGTAAACAAAATATACAACAAAAGAAGCGACCATGCACACCAACAAACAACGCTTCACCAAACCTGTTCTCTCTGTTCAGATCTTGAGAGGGGCAACCCAGGCTCTGTGCTTCTCCCTTAGCACCACAGACTTATCTCCTCCACTGCACTGTGCTCCTGGAGATATTAACCCTCTTTGGTGTTTAAGCCCTCTGCCTTCATTTAGTAGCCATCAGTTGCAGCTTGTTCCCAGCCTTCCAGCCAGGCAGACTATTTACTGCCGATCACTTGCTACTGGGCTTCAGCCCCCTGAAGGCTGAGAACTTCCTTACATCAGCACTTCTCTGAGTGTGAAGTTCTGTCAACTGCCATATTCATTTTGACTGTGGATATGATCCTTTACTCTAAATGAAAAGAAGCGAAACAAGTTGCACATCATTAGCTGCCTCCTCCTGTTTTGTCCTTTGTTGTACTCTGAAAATAAATTAATAATTTTCAAAACAGCTCTGTACTTGATATAGGCAGAATTTAATGATTTATCTAAGTATCACTGCTGCTGCTACTTCATATGGAACTTAGCCTTGCAAAGAGCTCTCCAATGGGTCCTGAGAAAGCAGGGAAATGCCACAGAGGCTGCAAACATCCTGGTACCAGAAGTCTGGGATGAATGTGCATCAGGAGATGCACCATCTCACTGATTATAGAGTGTTTTTGCTTGTGTTTATCAGGGTGAAAATGACTCCTGAAAGGGGAAAAATACTTTTAAAATTAAAATTATAAATACATCATTGTTACAATTCAAAGCAATCTGGTTAATAACTTAAAAGTATCTTATGTGCATGCATACTCATTACAGTCTGTGAGGAATATTGTTGCATAAGTATGCTACTGAAAATGCACTTGGAAATGGTAGGGTGGACTTATTTCAGTAAACTGCATCAAAGATGTGCATGTTCATAGTTTCCTAACTCCCACCACTAAAAAACTGGAATGTAAGCTTTCACACTGAAGATTGATGACCAGGATACTTGAAGGATTCATCAAAATATATCCAGATGGAAGCACATTGACCCACCCTGAGGCATCCTCAGAGTAGTCCCATAAGAGATGGAAATCAAGCATTGTGAATCAAAGCACACAATTCCCATTTATGTTAGAGAAAGATGTACACTGGAAGAAGGATATAGTCCCAAATATGAGAGATATTTTCAGTAAATACTGTTTTGATTATGACTTTCTCAGCCTAGCTCCCTGAATGGGTTTTCTAACATTCAGTATCAAACATATTTTAAAGCATGCAGCTCACTTGGGGGTATGTTTTTAGTGTGGTGGATGGGGATTGAGCGAAAAGCTTCAATGAATATTAATAAGCCTCTTGCAGCTAACGCTGTACCCACTAGGCTTAACATTTACCCTGTCTGTAGCTTTAATTGAGACTATGTAGTTAATATTTATTGCCAACACCTTATATTTTTCAGTCTTTGGAATCTCAGTGAAAGCTTATATTAGGTAGAAAATATAATTATAGATATATTATATTTATGTAAAAGGAATGGGGGAGACAGAATGCCCCAAGTAATCACTTTTAGAAGACCAGTAATTCTATTAACACGCCAGTGTTCAGAGGCATTGTTCTAAAACAAATGAATAGTCTTACAGTGTAGATGAAAGAGCAAGATTTGACTTGGAACACTGGTTTCTGTTCTTGACAATTGTTACAAACTTACTGTACAGCTTGAGATAAGCCACTAACCTCTCTTGCCTCAGTTTATCTATATGTGAAATTAAGGTAGTTAATTACAGACCTGTGATATTTACCTTGAAAGACAGTATGTTGCTCAGCTAGTGTTTATTGTAGTTGTGGTGCTTTAAGATTTTGGGTTCAAAGATGCTCTATAGAGGCCAAGTATTTTTATTTAATATAAACTTATGAATTGACTTCTGGATAACAACTAGTTATTATTTTTCTCATGTTTTTCTTTCTCTTGCCTCTCTGTTCCCACTCTGGGATTCACAGGGACAGCACTGGTTGTCCAGTGGGATCATGTACATCTCCAGGATAATTACAGCATGGGCAGTTTCACTTTTCAGGCTACACTTCTCAATGATGGACGAATCATTTTTGGATATAAAGAAGTAAGTTACATCTAACAACTATCATTTAAATAGTTGAATCACTTCATAATCCCATAGTTGCTGTATGTCAGGAACCACTGTATAATAGTTACTTTGGTTACTTGAAAGTTCAAATGTATAAATTTACTTTCACAGTTCATTACTCCTAAGATCTGCTTGCTGAAATTTACATCCCTTTGAAAGGCTGGTATTCATGTATGTGGCTTGACTATCAGTCTGTGAATTTCTTTTGATACTTTTTGGATGTTGTTATAAGTATTGACTATTTATGAATTGCTAGTAGAGGTTGGGAGATGGGGTCTACTTTTTTGGATTTGTTTGTCCAAAGACATTTCTTATGCTTCAAAAGTAGGAAATAACTATAGTATCTTGCTCTTAGCTCTGTGAGCAGTTTTCAGTTTATTTGCAGGTAAGATTAGTCAGATTGCAATCAAATTGTGTACCCCCATAGAAGAGTGGTATCAGAGTCATTCTTCTTCATTTTGTCTAGCTGTATTCTTTGAGCCTCCCAGAAGTGTCAGGTCTTTAGAGTTATGACTGCCACTTTGACTTTCTTACTGGCAAAAACCAGCCATTTTAAGCCAGTTTCACTCAGATAAGCTTTCCTACTTTGTTAGTAATTGACAGTGACCAATATGGTTCCGTTTTTTTCATAAAACTTAACATGAAGGTTACAATCTTTCCTTCTGAATGTGATTTTTTTCCCTATTCTCTGATAGAAGAAGTATAGCCCAGTGGTAGAATCCAGAGCCAAAGTTTCAAGAGATTTGAGTTCAATTTTATGCCTGTCACAGGTACCCTGAGCAACTTGAGAGAAGCTCCTGATTTCTCTAAAACAACAGTAATCTCCTACATTACGTAAGAATGTGCAGGGGACTTCAATACTGTGTTTATGGGTACCAAATTTACCTAAGACAGATAAATGCCCTTGAACCTGAAGACCAGATTACTACAACACATTAATAAACTATATTTTAAGATTACTGAATCCTCAGGAGGTGCAGAATATGCATGCATGCTTACTTAGCCATGTTTCTCACAGAGAACATGCTGGATGTATTATCTGCTCTGGCTTTCAGTTAACTTCTGCATGTCACTGAAGATCCAGGCTTTGACCTATAAAAATGTAGATTGTTGACTTTAGGTTTGGAGCAGACTTTCCCATGGTGATACAATAGGGCTAAGTTTGATTTTGATGCTACAAACTTGGTTGTTGAGGTCTGCAGGAAGATTAAAGCCTTCAGAGGCTGGATAAGTGGAGAGAACAGCAGCCACATTTGGAATTTTAAGATGTATTTTACTAAACTGCAGTTTATATTTATACTTTGAATTTGAGAGAGGCATTTCATAAAGTAAAATAGTGACTTTTTAAGGGCAATGATTGTAGTGTTGGTGTTTTGATCTTTTTATTATTTACAACACCTGCATAAAGTGTATTTGGAACAGGGAACATTTTACATCCATTTTGCACAAATATAAGTGATATGCAAGGTCTCAGGCAACAGAGAATTATGTTGACGTGTGGTTACTTAGAGTCACTTAGGACTGAAAGGAACCTCCTATTTAATAGAGTCCAGACCCTTGCTTTTGCAAGCAATCATGGCATGTAATCCTATCTGTACACTTATCAAGTTCCATTTTACAACTAGTTAAGTTGCTTGCTTTTCTAGTTCTACTGGAAAGCTGTTCCAGAACCTTGCTGATTGTGGTTAGAAACCTAATTAAAGTTCTTTTTAAGAGACTTAAGCTGTGGAAGTGTCATTTATTTAAGTGTGATGGATTTGTGTTTTCCACAGTATCCAGCACTGCTGTACTAATAAATTCCACTACAAAGTCTAACTATGCTAAGCTGTTAGCTACAGTTTCTGGAATGATTAAATACCCAGTTGACAGGTACTTTAGAAATCTTGCAAAAAGAGTATTTTAAAAAAGAGTTTTAAAAGAATGCAAAGATAGTAACATAAATATGATCTATAAATGGTTAACCAGACACCTTTTGAAATGCTTCCAAATGCCTGAACTATAGTATGTCACCTTGAATTGTCAGGAGCAAAATTTGGCAGATCCTATAATATTGTTGCATAGGCTCTAGTCTTTAACTACAGTATGCCTTACTTCATTAAAAATGATGCAATCCCTTATATTTTACATTGAACTGATAAGCATTAAAAAAATGTCCAATCATTGACAAGAAACATTCTGCCTGAGAAGACTCAAAAACTTATAAATTAACACTTGACAATCTGGTGCTTGTGCATATGTCTAGGAATTAAATTATTTGTCAATGGTGTACCAACTTCATTGCTTTCTGAAGATCCTCTTATGGAACCTTCATTCATGTTGTTGAGTCATCTTGTAAATAGTCTCATTAACTTCTATGAGACTACTTGTGTAAGAAAACAGTTGCACAAACAGATCCCAGATCTTCTACCTTATCTTCTTAGTGCCATTTCATATTAATATTGCAAAAGAGACAATGTATAGCAAGGCCCAGTGTTTTTCATCATGCTGTCCTTGAAATTTCTCAAACTGAAGTACTAATGTTATATACGTGGCAAACAAGTTTCCATATAATACTAGGAAACATCCCACAGTAGCTATTTGTTAGAGACTGAGAGTTGACTTCTACTGGAATCCAGCTTTAAATCAACTCTGCACACATCAAGCAGAGAGAGGTAGTTAGCTGTGTTAGTTTGAATTCAGGCAGAAGGCAGGATAAAGGTACCTTATAAACAAATTGAATCAGAAATGCATAAACTTTCATGAGCCTGGACTCATTTCATCAGATGCTGTGAAAGGACATGCACAGAACAGTTTATCGAATAATCTATTTGAGTGGTACAGAGTCAATAGCATACAGGCTGTTTGATCAACTACTCTGTGCATGTCCAATACCAGCATCTGATGAAGTGATGGGCCCTTGGGCTCATGAAAACTTATGGATCTCTGATTTAGTTAATCTGTAAGGTGCATCTCCACCCTGCCTTCAACACACATAGGCCATATCCAAGTGAGCGTGGTCATGGGATGTGTGGCATCACAGACACACCTGTGGCGCCACATACCACACATTCAATTGTTCTCCGCAGTGCCAGGGAGAAATGCGGAGGGTTTTTTGACCCCTGGATATCAAAAAAGTGGAGTGACGCATGTGGTAGCAGCGTGTGCTGCCCAAAGCCAGAGCCTGGCCGACCAGAGACTCACTCCACTGTGGGCCAGACTCTGCATGGCAGGATTGCCACTGCTGCAGCCCCAGGAGGCCCCAGGACCCCAAGTAAGGCTGCTGGGGCCAGTCCAGTGCTGGTCCCAGTCTGCCCAACCCCACCCAGGATAACTTGCCACACGCCAGAGCGTGTGTGCCACAGGCATTTCCGGGGACAACTAGCAGCGGCACAAGGTGCGCCACCACTAGTTGTCCCCAGGGAACCAAACATCCACACATGTCTGGACGTGGCCCTGAAGGCAGTTTTCATCTCTAGTTTTCATATTTTATTTCAGGACTTTTCACCTCATGTCCATTTATTCAAACAATTTCAGTTTCCATTTTCATTGCTTTCCTTATGTCACCCTGGCCCCAAGAAGGCCCACCAACCCCATAAATACTGTGAAGTTTTATTGGGGCCAAATCCTGGTCTGGCTTAGCCAGGCTCCAGAGAACTGCTGTATATCAGTCTTACGTATTCCATTTGTTTGGTTAAAGATAGTCTAGAACAGGGGATCTCAATCCCCGGGTTGCAGCCTGGCCAATCCTTTGGCCACTGTGGGTCAGATGCCGGTCTGCAGCATGGTTGGCTGCCAGACTGGAAGTGGCTATGGACCAGCAAACCCCATCCCCCCAGGGCTGGGTGGAGAGGTGGCAGCTCCTTCCACAGGGCCCATGGCAGTGCAGGGTTTTCCCCCACACCCCCCAGGCAGTGGGGGTATCCTTACCTGTCTTCCAGCAGGAAATTTCAGCTGCAGTTGGCTGTGACTGCTGGGCTGTAGTATGCCACTTTCGGGCTGCAGCTTTTTAGGAACCCCTGGTCTAGAATGTATGGCTTTCCTTCAAAATCCAAAGGAAGTTCTCAACTCAAAAAAGTTAAAAGCAGTACTTAGTCCAGAAGAGAAAGGTAGATTTGCATGAAACTCCCCGAGGTCTAGCTCCTTTTTCATTTTTATGTACCTCAGTGACATTTATACAGAGTTTGGATTTTGTTTGCACTTGCATAGCTGTAGTACTTCTGTGTTTCTCTTTTGAAAAAGCTCCAAACCTCCAGGGCAGATAGAATTGACCAGACATGTATGTAATCCCAGGTAACACATCTACTACATTTTAGCCTGGTGATTAGGGTACTTGAACAGGGTGCAGGAAGCCCTCTCTCACCAAAGGGATTTTGAATCTTCATCTCCCACTTTTCCAGTAAAATGCTCTAACCACCACATCATAGGTTGGGCATTGCTCAGAGTGCCCTACAACTCTTTTCATGAAGCTAGTCCCCTGGGCAGCCAGGACTAGATGATATGTGGGGCCAGGAAAAGGAGATCAAGCCCATGTGAGGGTGGCTTAGTGAGACTGATACTGCCTTAGAGAAGAGGGAGCCTTGGGATCTGATCACTAAACACTTAATGGCTTTAGTGCACCTAGCATCTAACGTTCACTGGACACCAACAACAGTGACATAATATCTGCCCTGTGTGGGTAGAGGCGGGGAACAAAGTAGAAGGGTGGCAGGGTTTGAGGCCTTGTAGCAGAGTTTTTCAAACTTAATAGCTGTTTTAAATTGACTATATGATTTGGGCTCATGTTTGGTCCAGTTTTTCCAATTTTAATAGATACTTTGACTATCATCACGGCTTATCTATCATTTTGATACTCCTTTTAATTGTTATATCAGCACTGATTTACAGAAAAATATAAACGAACCTTTTGTAAGCCAGTTACAGGCTCCTGTGTATTACCTATTCTTTTGAGGAGAGAAAGTAGCAAAGTTTTAAAGTAAGCTCTCAATATATTAGTTTGT